TTCTGAGGTTCTCGCGGGTATTTGTATGTGGATCTTTGGTTGTTTGGGAAGTGCTTCTCACTCTGAGAAGCAAGAGCCGAAGACAGAAGCCTGAAGATGATGAATGAGACTTCATCGAAACGTTGCCTAGATACTTCGAATCTTACGCGGGAGAAAACCCGAACAACCAAAGATAGATAGATAGATAGATAGATAGATAGATAGATAGATGTAAATAAAGCACTCATTCCATTCCAATTCAATTCTATCATTAATATTCATTAAAATCTTAACATCTTCAACATTTCTTTTCAATTAAATATCATACTTCCTTGGGAACACTTATAAACTTTCATAATTCTTTTTTTTCCCATATTTCTCTTCACTTATATTTTATAAATCATTAATAATAATTAAAATGTTCCCATCCTTTCCTAATTTAATTCTCTCATTCACTTTATTTCATTTATTTATTAACAAACATTCCACTAGATAACAAAAAATATTTTATCCATCATTTTAATCATATTTTCTAAAATTATTTCTATTTGTAATATAGCAACACTATCTTATGTACCCTTGAAGAATCCCTTTTACAATTAAGTTTTCGCCCATTATCTCTAAACAGGCTTATACTTTCAATTCTTATACCTTTTCCCTGTTTCTCCATATCTTGTTTCAGTCCTTTATAACTTCTTTTCCTTTCCTTCTTCCCCCTCTTCTTCTCCCACCCCTTTTTACCCCCTTGTCTCTCTACTTCTAATTCTCTTTTCTGTAATCCCCTCTTCTGTTGCTTTCTAATATTATACTTATTTTTCAAACTATTCTTTTTTTGTTGTTTTTTCAAATTTTAAACTTTTCATTCTCTTTCCCCACTTTCCTTTTTCCCCCCACATAAAATTACTTGATCATCAAAGATGGCTTCTTCTTTGTCCCAATCTTCTTGTTCTGCAAGCATTTCTTGTTGTTTCTCATAGTTCCAGATTTCCATTTCTAAGAATTGAAATGCGAAGCCAAAAGAACCTCTCCCTTCTTGTGCATCTTCTTTGTACTTTTTAAGTTCCATTTTCACTTCTTCTAAAGTGGTGCCATTTTAAACACTTTTAAACAACCATCTGATTGATTTTAATCATTTAAATGCAATAACCAAAAATCCAAAGATCACCAAGTAATCCAAACAATCCAAAGCAGTTTCTTCTTGCTTCTTTTTTCCACTTTCTCTTCCTGGGGTTCTATTATTTTGTTGACAGGTTTCAGTTAAAATGTATCTTTTAGGAATCTTGTTGAGGTTTCACTGTAAATTCCTTTTAGTTCCAGGCAGTTTCCTCCATTTTTCCAGATCCTGCCCTTTTATTCTTTTTCTCTCCTTTCCTGCTTTTAAAAACTTTTAAGTACCCAGACTTCAGTATCCCTTTGACATTTTATTTTCAGCTTAAATGCCTATTGATGTCAAAGTGGATTTTTTTTCAATTTCTTGCTTAAGTCTCTTAGCTGTCAGTATAGAGAAGGGAAGAAAAAAAACCCAAATCCTTTCCCTTCCCTCTCTCCTTCGCTGCTTCAAAATCTTTTTTGGGAACAATGTTATTTTTTTTATAGTTTAAATTCCAGGGTACCTTATGTTGTTGCTTTTGCAGTTTAACCCGGTCAACCAAAACTTTCTCTTCTTATCTTCCTCCTGCACATTCTTTTCCGGTCGAGTTCTTCTTTGAGGTGGCCATTTCTGACCACCGCTGCAACTGCTTTCAGGAAAGGGAGTAATGGCCAGCTGAGGAGGAGAGATGCGGCTTTCCTCAACCCTGCTGGCAGTCTCCCCCCTCTTCACCACCTCTACGGGGTGGCTTAGACCCGAAACCAGCCGGCTCAGGGCGCTCTGGTGGTGAGCATGGATCGAAACCGTGCACGATCGCGAAGGAACTCAAACTGGAAGTCTATTCTATTCTATTCTATTCTATTCTATTCTATTCTATTCTATTTTCTATTAAAAGTTGACATTTCATATTTGTTGCTTTGACCATTAATATTATAGTTTTCCATTAGTTATTCTTTTGCTTTGTTCAATACCCCTGTTTCACCCTTACATTTTATTGCCTTCCAATGCACAAACTTCCCCATTTTACAATGTCAAAATACATGCAGAGAGAGAAGCAAAGGAAAAAAGGACATCAACAAACTTTGCTACTAATACTACTAAATCAGGTCTTAGTTATGGGTAACTTTTCAAATGTAATTTGTGTCAAACAGATTTTTATATTTAAAAAAAAACTTTGTAAAGCAACAAATTTTAATTCAAGAAAATCAGGAATCATAAGGAATCAGACAGTTCAAATAAACAATTGATTTCCTTTTATTTATTTAAATATCTTGGATTCTAATTTCTGCTTTTATAAAGTAATCTCAGTTATCGGGAAAAGTTAAATAGAGACAATACTGGGAGTGACTATAACCTTTTTAATGTAATCACAACAAAGCAATGATTTAAGGAGACCTAATTTGACATCAAGAGCTGGCAACTGAAGACAATCATCAACCTCAGATTAACAACAGAAGGAATTAAGAGAACTGATCTCTATAATTATTTTCCTTGTCACCTCTCTCAGTCACCTTTCTCAGTTCTTTCACTTATATTAACCTATAGTTATGATTAACTATGGTTAAATCATAAATCTGTTTTTGTAAAATTATAAACCTTAAGCAAACAAGGGAACAGTTTGGAAGCCAAAAGGATAAAGGTCAATTAGTTATAACTGATTTCTTGCCATTAAGGTTTAAGCAGCATTTGAACAGAACTGGATGTGACATTTCAGTTCTTTGCTTCCCAGAACTGAACACTACTTATAATTTTGGTGACACTCATAAGGACTTTCTAATTTTTTACATATATTACTGAATACATTTTAAAAACCAATTCGTTAAAAACAAAGAAATACATAATACAAAAGGCTGTAACTTTTACTGGGTAACTATAATAATGTCCCTTCCAACTCTGATTATCTGTTATTCTGTTAATACACAGTATACGACAATAAAAACAGTGTGACATCAGGTTTTTACTAACCGGATTTTCAGGAAGCAATTAAGGGGACAATCAAGAATCCAAAAACTTGTGATAATTCAATTTTATGGCAGTAAAGCTAAGAAGCTGTAACAACAAACTTTTGGTGATTTATATAGCTTTGTACAGAAGCAAAATTTATTTATACAATCAGTGTTCAAATTTCTATGCTTCCTTTTTTCTGACCACAATATGAAAAGAGCCAGAAATAATTATTTTGTGTGCAAGAGATAGAGTTTTTATTTATTCTTGTTCTAGTAATGACCTGTTCTAATATGGTTTTCTTTCAATCATGTGAGAACTAACTTTCACAAGAGATTATGTCTAAAGGTTTATGAATACTTAACTCCATAGAACTAAGCAAAACAGTTTGGCTTTAATACAGATTAATTTTACTTATTCGTGGACCATCTTTACATCTATCAGATATCATAAAGTTGGAGATAATTCATTTTAGTGAAGGATCGAGCAGATTCCAACAGCATTGTACATCAGGGAATGTGCTGTCCAGCCAGTTAATCAAAGGACAGAATAGGGAATGTATGTACCTGTCATTCTGGGATGGTTGCATAGGTGTTCCATTTATATTTCTGCAAATGTAATATTCTGGCTAGGGCAGGGGTCCCCAACCACCGGGCCCCAGACCGGTACTGGTCTGTGGATCATTTTGTACTGGGCCGCCTATTTTGCTTTGGCACTGCCATCTTGTTTCGACGGTGCTTGAGAAAGTGCTTCCGGATGAGCTTGTCGGTCATTGGTTGGAAAACGGCGTTTGGGTGCTGAAGGAATCCTTGCGCCTTAGTTTCGTCGAAGGGGGGTGGTGGCTTCCAACGAAGAGCTGTCCCAATGGCGGTGGAGTCTCGCGTTACTCAGGAGGAGATTAAGAAAGAGCCCAAAAAGCCCATTGACCGTGAGAAGGTACAAAGGAGGAGTTGAAGGTGGCAGGGAGAAGTGGGGGACAGCTGGCTGGCCGGTCGCTTGGCTCGCCTTGCCTTGGTCATGCATGCTGATGCTGGTATTGGTCCGTGGATCATTTTGTACATTTTGTACTGGGCCGTGGTACAAAAAAGGTTGGGGGCCACTGGGCTAGGGGACACTCAAAAAGCAAAGCACAGAACAGGAACCAATCAGCACATACTCTAGGATGCGCACCTCCTCACAGTTGGAATTTGGGAGGTGTGTATATTGACAATCTGCAGCCATCAGCAGCCTATGCTTACCAAACAACCCCTACATGCAACTGTAGGCAACTCTACATCACGCTTACTTTGAAGCTAAGTTCATATATCATTCTAAAATAACATTGTTCAGAATTGTTTATGAAGTAAACCATAATTGACAGAATTTATATGATGTGTGGGCTGTTTAACATAGTTTATAACCTCATCAGCTCATATATTGCCAACCAAATCATAATAAAAATTTATCAACCTTGCCTTGCAAATATTAGCTTGGGTATGAAGAATCATTCACAAATATTCTACCTGCTTCTAGAGAAACTGGGGAAAGGGTTTGTTTATTCCTGATTCATTCCTGCATTGGTATGAGAGGAGGAAATGGAGGGATCAATTTACCAGCAGAGATTAAATAGCAAAGACACACAACCGAACACCTTTTGAGACCAAAGATGTTATTAGTCAAACAATTGAAATGAATAAATGAATGGAGGCTATGGATTCCTGGCAGTATACTTAATCCACCTGCAAGACAGGGCCCTGGTTGTTAGGACATCACATGACAACGTGTTGTCAGGAGGAAAGAATCCAACACCTTGAATAAGAAAAGATAGCAGCTGGGCTGGAGCAGGGATGCCACTCCGCACCCTTCGGTCACCACTTGTTGAGAAAGGCTTCTTGATCTGGATTGGTTAGGGCTCTTCTCTCTTTCCCTCCCCTTTCGATAGTCGGAATGATGACACTACTTAGGTACTGAACCCGAGGATAAAAAGGAGCCTATCCATGAAGTGCCTCCTCCTCGAGGCACTAGAGAGGAGCTCGCTAAGGTTTGGTTAGGTTTGGTTGTCAAACGCGTCAAAGACGTCAAGCGGGAAAGGCGTCAGGAATCAACGCCGGTATTACTTATTGTTGGGCGCCGGGCAGAGGACGAGGTGGCAAACGGCCGAGAGCCAGCCAGGGGAACCCGTCTAGAAACGAGCAGCTCCGTTCTGAAGGAGAACAGCAGCAGTTTATGGAGTTTTGAGAAGCGAAGGTTCCTGGTGAAGCGGACGTCTCCTCAGCTGAGCGCGTCGAGTTCTGCCGGGCTTGGTGACAAGTCAAAGCGCGCTCTGAGCTACCGGTAGGAAGCGAAGCAGACGGTCCAGAGCGCCAGCGGACTCTTTGCCCGCTCAGCGGAGGCGCGCGGAGAAAAATGGTCACCTGCAGAAAAATCGGAGGGTTCGCCGTCTCGGACTATGTGGTCTTCGGGATCATGTTGCTTATGTCCGCGGTCATCGGGGTCTACTATGCCTTCGCGGGAGGTGGCCAGAGGACCCGCGAAGCCTTCTTGATGGGGGGCCGCAGCATGACAGCTTTCCCCGTGGCGCTCTCCTTAACGGCCAGCTTCATGTCGGCCGTGACGGTACTAGGCACCCCCGCCGAAATCTACCGCTTCGGGGGCATGTTTAGCCTTTTCGCCATCTCCTATACGCTGATGGTGGTTATAAGCGCTGAGGTCTTCCTGCCCGTCTTCTACCGCCTGAAAATCACCAGCACTTACGAGGTAGGGAGGGAGAGCGACCGGCTAGCCTTACCCCCGCTCACACTTGCGCTCTGGAGAGGTACTCGCCCGTTTCTCTTTGGCTGCAGACTACTGTTTTAGCCACATCCTAGTAATTGTCCATAAATAGTTACTCTCATATTGTTTTTTTCTCCACTCCATCACTCGTTTTCGGAACTCTACATAACTAGGAGGTGGAGGTTAGATTAGAAGGAGTTGAAAACGCTCTTCAGCTTGTCCTAGAGATTTGGACTCTGCAGATGAATCTTCGATCAGCATGTGATCCCAGCAGGCTTGAAAATAATTGAAGGGTAGTTTCTCAAGCTCAGCAACCTGATGTGTGGACCTCAACTAGAATTCCCAACTAGAATTCCCCAACCACAGAGGTCTCCAAACTTGGCAACTTTAAGAAGCTATGCTGGCTGGAGAATTGTGGGAGTTGAAGTCCACAAGTCTTAAAGTTGCCAAGTTTGGGGAACCCTGTCTTAAAAGTTGCACATCTTAAAAGTTGCTAACATTAGTTTAGAGCAGGGGTCGGTTGAGGAATTCTGGGAGTTGTAATCCACAAGTACAATTGCCAAGGTTGAGACCCCAAGTTTAGAGAGCAGAGAACAGCTTCTGGCAAATGAATCTGTTTTCTTATCATATAGACCCCTAGATTCTGCTGCCTGAAGTGATTGTTTCATTTTACGAAATGGAATTATATGTGACTCAACACACAAGTCTTATTGGATAATCATCATCACGAAACCTTAGATCAACAACGTATTAGATCAGCAAAACAATTATGTATATAATAAAGCTTGACGAGGAATGTATATTTATATAAACACTATAGAATGACAAAGATTGACAGATCAAAGCAAGATTGAAGAGTTAGACAACTCTAATAATTCTTCAATAAAATGTTAATTCTTTCTTCAAAGTTACACAAATGTTATAAAGTATTTGTTTATTACAGTACCTAGAAATGCGGTTTAATAAACAGCTGCGCCTGTGTGGAACGGTACTCTTTATTATACTGACGGTAAGAAAATTAATTTTATTCATTTCTTAATGTATGAGATTTCTAAAGTAAATTGACTCAGCATGCCATCTTTCCAAGGTTGGCAAAATGAGGACTCAGATTGTTGTGAGAAATGTGCTCATATTATAAACTGCCCAGAGAGTGCTGTAAAGCACTATGGGGCCGTACATAAGTTTAAGTGCTATTGTTATTGCTTTTGCTAAATTTTATTATTTAATAGCTCTGCAGCAGGTTACATAAGTAAGAAGTTTAATATAGTGTAAATAATAGTGTAAAATAAAGTTGGTTTTTAAAAACAGGAAGTTATGAACTATATTATTTTATATGGAACAAAACTGAAGTACGAAGTAAAAAAAATCTCCACCCCCAATGATAAAGAGAGTTTGATTGCTTATTTAAGTTACAATAGATGTTTAAATAAATATGCTAAAGAATTTTGAATTAAACCTTTTGAATAGGAAAATGTTTTACTGATATTTACACATTTCTTTATAACCTGTAAAGTGGTATATTTGCTATTTAGTTCTTTCTTTGGAATTTACCTTTGATTCAAAACTAAAAGGGTATCTTCAGTCATGTTCTACTCCACTAAAGTTTTCATTATCCTAAAAATTCTCTGGCGCACCAGGAATGTTTCCTGAACAATAGAAGATGAGCTATGGTAAATTTCTTGTCAACTTCAGGAGTTAACTATCACATAACATATTTTATTTCTCAGAATTATGATTAACAAAAGAAAAACAAATTTTAATCAACTTGAGATCTTTCAATGTATAACCATAATTTATGACTATGAATGAACCATGATCACTTTTGAAATCTTTAGTTGTTCAGGAACTCAACAATATTCTTAGAATAACCTGTTTATTTAATTGATCAAATTTATAGGCCACCCTATAAATCACCCTGTATAAGTGACTGAGTGGCTTACAAATAATTACTGTTACTTTGCCTGCAGTAATGCTCCAGACAGTAATGTTCTGCATTTTATCATGATTATGATAGTTTCTTATTTATTGATTTTGAAAATGAAAACTATTCTCATTTTATTGATATTTTGTGTAAATGCTATTGAAACCTATCACTTTTATCAACATGCCTGTCTTATATTGTTTGGATTTAATTCACCGTGCAATTCAGTACTGAACTGTTTCCACAGTTGTTGGAAGGCCAAGACGAGCAATTTGTGTTGTTTATTTATTTTTCAGATACTTTACACTGGAATTGTCATTTATGCTCCAGCTTTAGCTTTATATCAAGGTAACTTTAAAAAAATCAAATAAAATTAATGCAGAACAATTTGGAGATTTTTCGACTATCTGCTGATTCTGAACATGTTTATATAACTCAAGTTGAAATATCAGAATATTAGGTTCAATAATGTTGAAAAGTGATATAACTAAATTAAGCTACCTAGCTTAAATAGCTTAGGTTTAATTAATTCTAAATATTGAATAAAGATTCACATGAATTAGAAAAGTATTAGAGGTAATCCTCGACTTATTACCACAATTGATCCCAACATTTCTGTTGCTCAGCAAGATGGTTGTTAAGTGAATTTTGCCTCATTTTACAACCTTTCTTGCCACAGTTGTTAAGTGAATTGCTGCAATAGTTGGTAACACAGTTATAAAATGAATCAGGCTTCCTCATTAACTTTGCATGTGTATGCCCCTGGTGGAGACTGACTCTGAGGGAGAGGAGGAACAGCTGACAGGGAGTGGAAGTGTGGCTCCGGAGGTTGTGGAGGAGGCTGAGGAAGGGCAGAGGCCGGCTGAGCAGTCAGAGGAGGACCCAGGCCCATCCCCTATCTATCGTAGGGCACACAGGGAGGAGAGGATAAGGCGAGATATGATCTACTCGGGAGGAGAGGGACTTGATCCTCTTCATGGGCTGCAGGTGTGAGAACTGCATAAGAGTTTGGATCTGCATACTGGCAAACACTGGAAACAAAGTGTGTTTTATTTTGGTCTGAAGTTATCTTGGTTGGCATCCTTCCAACAAACTCTGCCTTGTTATCCCCTTGAATTTGGTAAATACTTCTGTTCCATTGTGGAAACTTCATCATTGTAGTTTGTTTGGTTTTTTTATTTCACCTCTATCTGCTCATTAAATTTGGACTATATTGCTTTCTTTTGAAGACTATTTTTGAGTATGTTTTATTTCCAACTGAGTATTATTGAACAGTGGGGCCAAGTTGGAGGCATTAAAGGACATTTATTTATGTTTTGGATTTTGTTACGTTTGTGGTACACTCTGGGTCATCACAGTATGTCAGAAGGTTGCTAAAAGTGATCACATGACTCTGGGATGCTGTAACATCATAAATATGAACCACTTTCCAAGCACCTGAATTTTGATGACATGGTTATAGGGATGCCACAACAGTCGCATGAAACATGGTCATACATCATTTTTTTCAGTGCCATTGTAACTTTGAACAGTCCACTAAATGAATGATTGTACATTGACAACTACTTGTACAATTAATTCTCTTAAATATGTGATCAGTTCACAATTAATCTTGTATGTAATATTTGTAATACAATGCAAATTTCTGTTATAATTATTTTCATTCTTATTATTTCACAAAAACCTAAATATTTATGTTCTACATTATTTTTTATAATAGCCTTCAATAATACATATATAATAATCATATATTTTTAATCAATCCTGCAACAAGAACATTATTAGACTCACTCTTTTGTTTACAGATTTAGACTATCTGCATTATTCCAGGAAAGTTGTCTATTCAAGAACATATTGCAATCCCATATCAGTTAATTTTTAAAATTATGTTAATATGCTTTGGATTAATCATTTTCTGCTATTTTAATTTTTTAAAAAATATTTTGTACTTTTTCTTCTTTAGTTACAGGAATTGATTTATGGGGTGCAGTTGTTGGAACCGGAATAGTCTGTACTTTCTACTGCACACTGGTAAGTTTGCAATTATTTTGAAAATTGGCTACAACATTGGCTAAAAGTTTAAACACTTAATCAAACAAATTCATTATATTTACTTCTATTATTTTAAGTACAGATAGTCCTCAACTTACAACCACAATTAAGCCCAACATTTCTGTTGCTAAGTGAGACATTTGTTAAGTGAATTTTGCTCCATTTTATTTTACTTTTTGCCGCAATTGTCAAGTGAATCACTACAGTTGTTAAGTTAATAACACGGTTGTGAATCTGGCTGCGAATGTTACAACTATGAACAGCTACCAAGTATCTGAATTTTAATCATGTTACCATCAGGATGCTGCAACAGTTGTAAATGTGAAAAACAGTGTTATAAGTCACTTTTTCTGTGCCTTTTTAACTTTGAATGGTCATTAAATGAACGGTTGTAAGTCGAGGACTACTTGTAACCTGCATTAAGCAAAGATGTTTGTATGGCTTGGATAAGAAATGCACTGAATGTCTTAGACTCCAATGACTATTATATTTCTTTTAATATTAGTTAGTTGTCTTGTATTTTAATCCATGTCTTTTCTTATCCATCCAGGGTGGTCTAAAAGCAGTGATTTGGACAGATGTTTTTCAAGCTGCAGTCATGATTGCTGGATTTTTATCTGTGATTATACGTGGTGTGATAGTACAAAATGGGTTTGGAAATATAATAAATGATGCCTATCATGGAGGAAGATTGCATTTCTGGGAGTAAGTATTTAATTTATTTCAGCTGGAGAAGAAACTTTCAAATATACATTATTTGTTATGTAGTTATTTTTGAACCATTTCCAGTAATAGAAAGGCAGAGGGATTTAATTTTATCACCGGGGTGGTGGTGAAAATTAACAATTCTGTCCCTCCCAGCTTTTTTTTTTTACTTTATTTATTGAAAAAATAAAGGAGAGGAGAAGAACTCTCTTTCTGGAGGAGAGAAGGGGTTAAAGTAAGGGAAAGGTTTTGGGAAGCTTGGCCTGAAGCTGCTACCTTAGAATGCAGGGTCTGGTTACCCGAAGACTAGAAAGTGCCAGAAGAAGTTTGCAGTCTCCCAATAGCCAGTTGACCAAGGCAGAAAGCTCCAAAGGCAGCTGCCATTTTTGCAAGGAATTGTCATGTCATGGCAAGATGGAAGGAAGGGAGACAGGTGGACAGGTGCTGCAGCACTCCAATGGTTGGTCATAAGGGTGAAAGATCCACGGGGGCACTGGAACCATCATAACTTTAAAACAGAGTCATATGTAGTTTGAGGGTATCTGTTGTAACTTTGAACATTTATTTATCTGGAGGACTACCTCTATATAATAAGTTTTAAAAATGTGTTCCATGCTTTCAGTACCCCTACTTAATATTTAACATTCTTAATAGGTTTTCAAATTAAGCTTGTGAAATATTCATTGAAAGAAAATATAAAGCAGTGTTTAATGGACATATGATCAGTTAGCTAATACTATAAAATGCATTTTTATTCAATGTAGCTTCAATCCTAATCCTTTGCAAAGGCATACATTCTGGACAATTGTTGTAGGTGGTACTTTTACCTGGCTTGGTATATATGCAGTCAATCAGTCTCAAGTTCAGCGATATCTTTCCTGCAAAAACAGATTTCAAGCAAAATTGTAAGTTAACATATTCTGTTTGTTTGCTCAAGGATTTTCATTTAAATTGCATTCTCAACATCAGTGTCCAATAATGATACAACCTAAATACTTATAAGGTAGTATGTATTACAGCATTTTTAAAATGCAAAATGACATTGTTGAAGGGCATAAACCACAACTATAAAAATCAATTATCAAATTATTTATTACCAATATTATTATATTTTCAAACAGTTATGGAACTTTGATTTTACTGATTTATGTATGTGTAAATAATGTCCTTATGAAGGGCATAATTAACTGTTGACATAGACATTGGAAATTAACTGTCCAATCTGTGTTTTAAACAAAGAGCTAATTTTGCTGTTCAAAGTATCTGCTGACAGGATGATAACAATTTAAAAAGAGCATCATTTGCATACTGTTTGGAAATTAGTTCTCACATATTATATCTGTTACTTCTTGGCAACTGTATTTTAAAATTTCAAACTGACCTAAAGCTAGCCCAAAATAATACCTCATACTGTTCAATATGATGCACATTATACTGTATATTTATTTGTCTCCATATTCTTCTAACATCTTACTCTTGAGGTACGTTTACAATAATAAGAATATTACAATGTTTTAAATCCTTATAAAAATAATTAAAAACCAGGAAGAGTTGTTTTAATTTATGTGTGGAAAACCACTTGAAATCCTGGCAAGTCAGATAGTGATTTTTATACATATGTAGCTATTTACATTTGCTGGAATATTTGCACAACTTTTTAAGCCAAAGAATCCAGTACATTCCTATCTAACAAAGACTTTTCCTGCCAAAGAGGAAACGAATGCAGATACAATAGCATGGAATGTATAATGCTTATATAATGCTACAAAATTATGATATTTCTACACAAGGTAAAAAAAAACACCTCTTGTTTGTTTTCTTATAGATCTCTTTATTTAAATCTTGTGGGACTCTGGATAATTCTTACATGTGCAGTGTTTTGTGGATTAGTAATGTACTCTGTTTTTAAAGACTGTGACCCATGGACAGCAAAATGTGTGGCAGCATCAGACCAGGTTTAGTATTAAAACATTCTTAAGTAATGCTAAATAAACATCAGGGCTATCGTTTTCAGTTTGCTATTGGCATATGATTTGATTACAGGGAGTTACTAGGAGCAATTATAAGAAACCCATTTTGAAGGAAACAGTTAAGGAATTAAAAACATTACATTTTCGGATAATGTCTCCCAAAGAATGCCATGAATAATTGAGGAATTAAATTAATGTTGTATTTTTATGCCAATTTTGAACTATGAATTTATCTTCCTTGTAAAAATGCAATTTGAAAGATTATTTTACACATACTTTTAGCACATTTAGCCCTTGTAAATGAGGCAGAAGAGTGTAAGAGAAGAAAACATACATAAAAATAAAAGTATAAAACATATGTGATATTTGCATTTTTTAGCTCATGCCTTATCTGGTATTGGAAATTTTACAAGAGTTCCCAGGAATGACAGGTCTTTTTGTTGCTTGTGCTTATAGTGGAACTTTAAGGTAAGTCAATTCAAAATTCAATAGGCAGAGAAGTGGGGAGGTTTCAATAGAGTAAAATGGCAATAGCAACCTTATAACAAGTGCAATAGTATACCCATTAAACTCAAGGAGACTTACTTCTTAACAAATATGTATGGTTGTATTTTAATGGGATTTCCAAGTAAACAGGTGTATACATTTTCCCCTTAAAACCATCTATACAGCCACTCATCCCAGTTCCGCATATAGGCTTAGGTAGCATAGACTATACAATTATTTTAAGTGATGCAGATATTAATTAATCTAAATGTGAGCTGAGAGCACATACTTTATTTGTACATTAGAAACTGTATTTTATGAGAATACTGTTGCCTTTTGACTTAAAATGTTTTAACTAATAACTTTTAGTAATTATAATATTAGTAAATAAAAAGAAAAGTAAACTTAGGAAATTTTTACAGAGAAATGAAAGTCACTGGTTTGGTACATTGTGCAAAACCAAAATGTGCTTTTTTAGCATAAGCCATGAATCCATTGTGGTATATACTAATCATGACTTATTATATGTTATAATAGGTCAGTAATTGTTGGTTTCTGGTTTCTTTAATGTTTCATTAGGAACTTCTTTGAACAGATTGCAGAGTGTTTAAATTATGCCTTTTTTTCTAAGTAATAGATAAAACAAGTTGAAAAACTAATCTTTCAACTATTGTAATTATAAAGCTGTTTCACTTTAACAACAGAAATAATAAGTATTATAGTAACTATCTGATTGCAAATGAAATACACCTTTAAAATGATATGAAATTACATGAACTCTACTTTATCTGCATTAGTACAGTGTCCTCTAGCATCAATGCTTTAGCTGCTGTGACTGTAGAGGACCTCATTAAACCCCATTTCGTATTAACTGAAATTAAATTTTCTTGGATTTCTATGGGGATGAGTAAGTATATATTAATATTTATTTTAAATTTAAATTATCTTAAGGAGGATAGTGTTAATTTGTTTTTAAAGTGGTTTATTAAATCTTATAATTACTATTTTTAAAATATATTAACTATTATTTTGTAGTATTACACATAAGCTAAATGGCTATAGTCTTAAAGAAAAAGTCTGTACAGTGAAAAAAGCATACTATTATGATTGGTTGCACAGTCAGCCAGATGTTTAGACTGGATTTGACATTGTTACTGTTGTTGTTACTGTTATTGCTATTGTTATTATTATTATTGACAAAGAACAGCCTGACTTTTGTCTACTGCTAATAAATAAATAAAAACCTGTTATTTGACCTCTTTGTGTGCATCATTCACATAGGTTTCTTTTATGGTTTTGTGTGCATTGCTATGGCTGCTTTGGCATCAGTTCTAGGAGGATTATTACAGGTATCTTTAATCATTTCTTTGTTAAGAAATCTCTCTGGAAAACAAACCCTAACCCTTATTCCTTTCAATGGATTCTTCTTTTTTATACTTTGGACTTACTTTGATTGTAGTATTAGCACTGAGTAAACCTCAATAGCGTAAGCTAGTACAGTCCATAACCTTCAATGAAGAAGAGGCCTTCATCCTGCGGTGAATTGATTCAGCATGAGCGCAGGATAGGTGCAGTGTAAGAGTGCAATACAAACATGTGACATGTCAATAAGACATTTACAATTAAAATCAGTAAAAGTCAACTAAAAGTCAGCATAAAATACTTTGCTTTTTCTTCTTCTTTCCTTTTCCTTTGTTTGTGTCTGTCTGCGTTTATGTGCATTTATTGTTTTAAAAGCTATTTTAAAGTGGGGCAAATGATGGCAGAGAAAATATAAAGGAAGGGAATAATTTCCTCATAGGTAATTTCTACTTTTCAAGGCAAGTTTCTTTCAATTATATTTGTCTCTAGTTTGAAAAATCAGAACCCAACCAATTCAGCATGGGCAATTGAAGTGGGGAAATCGTTTGCAGGGAAAGGATTAACTATACCTTCTCATCACTCTTTCCTATTACTAATTGTGCAGTATCTTAATAAATAATGTTTCCTATCTGTAAGTTAATGTACTATTGCCTATGTGGTATTCTACACATGTGCTGGAGAAGATCACAGTTTCCGAAATGTGTACCTACAATATATTTGTTTTAGTCATGCTCGCTGAACATTCTGAATCCCAACATATCGGCAAGACATCAATTAGAGAATGTTCTAATAAATAATCACTATTTTGGTTTTGAATATTTTCCAATAGAAATGAATAAGCGTATTATAAATAAATATTGTCTTTTCATTTTAACATGTTTAAATGAAAATGAAGCTTTTTAGCATTGTTTATACATTTTAATCCTTCAAATGTATAACTTAATGTTTTCCTTAGGCAGCATTGACCATTTTTGGTATGATTGGTGGGCCTCTCCTAGGACTCTTTTCCTTGGGAATCCTTTTTCCATTTGTCCACGCTATGGTAAGAAAATCTTCTGTTTATAGTACTATTTATTTAATTGCTGCCCCATCTTCAGATTCAAGACATTCCCCAGTCTCCTTGTATTTGAAGCTATTAAATGTATCAATTCAAACCACAGTGAATTGTAAGCATATTGGTGAACCTTAGCTTTCTTTTAGTTTTGGTATACTGTAGGGGCATAATGTTTTTCTCAGAAACAATATCAACAGGATGACTTGGAAATACTTCTCTTTCTGGAATTCTAAATTATATTAAAAAGTTCTGTGGCTGCTTTTAGTTAGGATAAGTGGTTTACACACTCTTAAATAACTAATGTAGCATCTGTTATATTACTAAAAATAAAATGTTCAGAAATTATGGTGGGATTTATTTCTTACACCTGTACTTTTCTTTTAAATGTGCTCAGATTCTATTTCTTGTTTTATAGGGTGCATTTATAGGTCTCATCTGTGGATTTGTTCTTACCCTTTGGATTGGAGTTGGATCTCAGATTTATAAGCCGCTGGCAATAAGGACCTTGCCATTAACTCTTTCAGTTGCAGGCTGTAACGCAAGCAGCCTAAGCACAGGCATTTATGCAATGGCTTCCACAGAGCTGCCAGCTTTCAAAATTGAAAATACTGAGAGGTATATGCCAAATAAATTTATTAACCATCCACTTAATATGTAATATTTAATTATGCCAGGCACAGTAAGTCTTTTATTGCTAACTAATGTTATTTTTTGCATAGTGGGATTTGAGACCCACTCAAGTATACATTTTTCTGTTCATGTTTACAAAGTACATTAACACTTTGCAGATCACATGCAGAGAAAGTGATAATTATTCATTTCCATTGCTATTGATTTGTCCAGTGATGTTAATTTGCTTCTGCTAGTACTTTTATACATATAATATACATTTTATATGAAAATGTATATTTAAATTCAAAAGAAAAATGGCAAAATCCCATAATTTTAGGTGTTACTGAACAATTGATATATCTGTTGGGATGGATTCACACATTGTGCTAAGCCATTATTTGTTTAATCATGATTCACTAATTAAGCCACAATTATATATTTGCCATTAACTATGATTACTACATTGGCATGACTGAATATATTGCACACAGTCAAAATGAAGTAAACTAATGATAGTTTAATATGTTAGGTAAACCTGGCCACTATAGTGTATCTCCTGCCAAGAAACATCATGTTTTAAAGTCCTGAAGACAAACCTTTGGTTATGATAGTACAATTAGAACAAATCTGGGATTATGTTTTTATTGTGATTGCTTTTAATCTCTGTATTATCTTCAGATACAGAGAAGAAAAGCAGCTACTTTGCTTTGGTTTTCATTAGCTTGAAAGCCTAGACTCACTTTTGAGTAATCTGTGATTGTAATCAAGAATGTACACAAGGGTGGCCAAAGTCAAGCAGAATGACAAAAGGAACTTTGTGCTGCTGCAATGAAAGCTCTGCCTGCTTTGTGCATACACAATACTGTTGTGGGCATGAGACTGTTTTCTTTGTATGAATGAAGACAGCAAGAGCCTTTGATTATGACTACATTACTGCTTTACTAAACTGTTTTAAATATTTACATTTAATATAACATTGTGAGATTTCATATGAATTGTGGAAATACATCAATAAATTCTATTTTTGTCTATCTAGACCCATCCTGGCAGATACTTTGTATTCCTTATCCTATCTGTATTTAAGTGCAGTTGGTACTCTGATTACAATTGGTGTAGGAACAGTTGCTAGCCTTTTGACAGGTAATTAATGATTCCTCTGTTTTTTGCTTTTATTCAAGTATAGATTTATTTCCAGAAGAACATAATGCAAACCCTGCTCTGCATAAAATCATATCTAACTTTATAATGCAAGATGTTAGATTAGATTTCTGCTTTGCAATTGCATCGATACCTGGATTTTTAGAACCCCAACATTAAATATCCATTGGGAATTGAGTTTTAATTTATAATATTTTATTTATTTATAATATTAATTTTTTTAATTTATAATATTTATAAATATTTTATTTACTTATAATATTTTATTTATAATATTAATCTTTTAAACCTTGAAAGTTTAATTTACGTTTTTTTTTCTTTTATAATAAAAGTCTGCCCATATTTCAGAGCCTGGGCAAATAAAGTATCTTATTCATTAAAATAATATACATTGATTTAGAATAATTGGATTTCTTATTGCATAACAATTTCTTTTGCAATCTTGTTTGAAAGTCAGGAACTCTGATTGCTTTAATAAGTAACACAAAGATGCTGAACTTACCTGAGAAGTGCTTTTACAAGCTCACGAGCATTTCTAAATCTTTTCAAAGTGTGTCCAGCCTAATATACAGTCAAACAAATAATTTGGTATATGATAAATCTTCATGTTATTTTAAACTGTAATTTATTTAGGTGTCTGAATTTATCAACCTGATTTGAATTTGCAGACAACCTCACCTAGTTGTTTGCAAATTCAAATCAGGCAGAAAAAATTCAAGTTTACTTCAGATGCATGAAAAATGGTTTCATTGGCATAAGCACTTATGAATATTACAGAACACAAACATCTTATCAAAATAGAATTGTTATGTATCCTAGAGGAGTGTCAGGAGTAAACCACCAGCCCTATAACTGAATAATTCAACTGTTCTACTGCTAAAGCCTATACACAGGAATCTTCTGACTGTTGGTTTGCACCTGGGTGAGAGTAGATAAGGTTCAATAGCAAGGGAGATTGGACTTCATCCTCTTGTGTCTGCTAGGGAAGACCTCCCCAACTTTTCCAGTTTTGCTGACCAGAGGGATGGGGGGAAGGGATGGTTCTGCGTGAGTATATGTGCTTGCCTGCTGCTCGTGCAAATGGGGATGTGTGCCTGCACTCGCTCACCACTTCTGTGACCCAGTTCTGAACGGCATAAAGCCCAGTAGTGGGATATGGCCCAATGGGTTCCTGCACTAGGGATTTCCTGCTTGACTCTTCTTACTGGCTCAGCCAGTCTCTCTCCCACACAGAGGTTGTTTGAATAACATCTGATTCAGACGAGTGATGGCTGCATAAAAATGTACTGTGTTGTAAATTGTGTTCATTTCCTGCCACAATTTGAATTTGTTATTTTTACATCTTTAAACAATTTAGGGCTAGAACATCTAAAGCAGAGGTGGTATTCTGCAGGTTCTGACCAGTTCTGGAGAATTGGTAGCGGAAATTTTGAGTAGTTTGGAGAACCAGCAAATACCTCCTCTGACTAGAGATTTTACAGTATCCTTCCGCTGCCACACCCAGCAGGCCACACCCACAGAACTGGTAGTAAAAAAAAAATTGATTCCCACCACTGATCTAAAGAATGATTGCTGTCCTGTAAATTCCTGCTTTTTTAGACTATGTGGAGGAGTCTTTTCCAACCTGTCATCTTCTGTGTGTTATGAACTATTCCCAGAATTTCCAGTCTGGCTGTGGTATAACATAGGTTGGAGAAGACTGATTTAGGAAGTGTCTGATAGACTTTGGCCAGTCTCTATCTGTCTGTCTTTTTCTATCTCTCTCGCAGGGTTATTGTTGTGGGAAAATAGGAGGAGGAAGGAGTTTTAGGTATATTCACCACTTTGAATTATTTATAAAAATAATAAAGGTAGGATTTTAAAAACATCTAAATAAATAAATAAACATGTAAACATCCCAGTTCACATGGTTCTTCTACATCAAAAAGCAGACCTTCTGTCATATGTTTGCACTATTTTATATGAAGTTTCTTATTAGCTTGATGTCTTTATAGATTTATTGATTTAACACAATTTGGATATGTTTAACTGAAGTAAATAGGTAGGATATAGATTTGTAATCATGAATAAATAAACTGTTCAATTCAAGAAACATTGGTTGTTTATTCATTTATCAAATTTACATACTGATCATCTCTCTGAAGTGATTCTGTGTAGTGTACAAATAAAGATATACAATTATATAAAAAGACATAAGTAAAAACAAAGATAAAAACAGAAGTAAAAACAAGTTAGAAAAATTAAAAAGTTATTATCTCATGCCATCTCATGTTAATACTAGTGTTACTATTTTGCACAAATAATAATTTAACTATACAGATTCTAAACTGTGTGTGAATGTATTTTAACTAACCTCATAAATGTTTTTCAGGAGGACTTAAGCAGACTGTGGACAAAAAATTATTACTCACCAAAGAGGATATTTTTTGTAATTTCTCAGGTGGTAAATTGAAACAAGTATGTATACATTATTTTATTTGACTCCAGACAGATAAGGATTGCAAAGAAACAAATCCAAAATGACAGAGGGTCCAAACACACTTTATCAGAAGATGCATTTATTAGATACTCCAACTTCAATCCATTTAGTGCTTGAGGTGCTTTGAACAAACTAGTGCTTTGAATTGAGCACAGAAATAGTACTCTTGTCAATACACTCCAGTCACATAATTTTATAGATTTCTCCCCAATTAGTCAGGTAATAATTATATTTTATTAAATTAAGTTTTCATATTATCTTCAAAGATAGGTCGAAGTACAATCCATTGCAGAGGTCAAAATTATATTATTATTATTATTATTATTATTATTATTATTATTATTATTATTATTATTATTATTATTTCTATGATGTGGTTTTGCTGTTATCAGGTTTTTTTGCCCCCAATATTTACTCCAACAATATTATTCTTGGCTGTTTTCTGAATAAATAATTGGCCACTGTCAGAACGACATTGAGAGAGATGTATAATAGGGATATACATATTATAGATGATTTTGGTCAATTTTTTTTGAACAGCCAACTATGTACTTTAATCTCACCATAGAAAAGATTTCATGTTTTTATGAAGACATTTCAGCTGCTATATAATTCAGATTTTATGAAACAGTATTTTAAAAATAAATTCTGCAGCTTTAAATAATCACCCCACTGTTACTTTTTTATATAACTTTATAGTTCCAAGAAGCAGTAGATTAATAAATTTGTTTAAATTTGTATCGAATCTAGCATATAAATAATACATTTTATATGTTTATAACCTGTTGGAAAGTAAATTCGATCATTAAATTATTATACTTTTCTGGCTATGAAATATTACATAAAAGAAGAAAATCACTATTTAAGAAGTTCTGGATCTTAAAAGTACCTAATTCTTAACTAGCTTTTGTTATAGAGCTGAAGGCACTAGGGATATAACAGAAGAGTCCTTTATCAGGTTCTGCTACTGTAGTGATGTCCAAGGAGGAAGGTCAAAACCTGCAAAATGGAAGGTTTGGTATCATGGTCTAAATCAGGGGTCTTCAAACTTGACAGCTTTAAGACTTGTGGACTTCAACTCCCAGAATTCCTCCTCCAATCATGTTAGCTCAGGAATTCTGGGAGTTGAAGCCCACAAGTCTTAAACATGCCAAGTTTGAAGACCCTTGATCTAAATTCTACCTCTTTTGTACATGCATCAACATTGCATACAAGTACACAAATGGCAGGGCTTTGATTTTTGACATCATACCCACCATTTTCCAGATATTTATACTACTACTTGGATGGACAATTCTGGCAAGTGGAAATTTTTATTACATCCTCTGCTATATATGAGCACTAAAAAGCCACCCCAGAAATTATTCTACTCACGGGACTCTGACTTTCTCAAAATGTTAGATGATGAAAGCCTGGCTTCATGAGTTAGGCTATAGAGGTTTTTGCAGAGTGCTTTCTTTTACAAACAAAACTCTTTTTTATAACATTGTCTAAACCAATCAAAAGTCAGAAACAACCCTTTTTAGGCACTATGTCTTAAAAATGAAACCCTTGATTGGCTTATACAATTTTTATTTACAATAAAATTAATTCTGAAAAGCTGAAATAATTTGCAATTATATTATTAAATAACATTTCTTTGTTGGTTATCTTTTATTAACTATGTGAAAAATCTAGCATTTCTATTTGCTAACATTAGCTAACATTAGTGAGGGAATTGTTTATGCATACCTTTATTCAATGAAAGACTTTTCAGTTCCTTTTGGAAATCTTGCCCCTTCTAAACTTCCGAAAGGATGGTGTACCAAAGAAAGGGGTGAAGATTGGAATCTTGCATTTTTGTTTGTATAAGAGGCTAGCTTTCAGTTTATCATATCTTAATTAGAACCCTGTTTAAAAATTTATTTGAAATATATTTATTTATTGAACCAATTTATATGGCTGCCTCAACTCACATAGAAAGTCTCTGGGCTGCTTAAAAAATTAAAAATCCACAGCACAGAAACCCATATCACCCTACCTCCATCTCTCCACCAACCTGATAATAACCAAGAAGCAGGATTATTCTTGAGATATTTAGGATTTAGACCAGGAGTGGGATATGATAGGGCTAACTACCGGTTCGGGATTTACGAGGTTCAGCGATTTATAATGTGCTTCCCTGCACACTGCAAGCGCGTGCCTGTAAATCGTCAGCAGCAGCTGCCTGCAGAGAAGCAGCCTTTGAAACAGCCCTCTTTTCCTGCTTTTTTAACTGCAGCTGTGCCTCGTTCGGCAGCTGAAGTTGAAAAATCAGGAAATAAAGATCAGGTAAGAGCCTGGGTGGGTGGATGGGCAAAAACATCCGCAGACATAGAACTGGTTCTATGTTTGCTGTTCTTCAGAGCTACCGGTTCTACAGAGGTAGACAGAATCAGTAGAAACCCACCCCTGATTTAGACCTTTTGTTGGTATAAAATCAGTATCTAGGCTTTGGTTTCAATACAGAAATTGAAAGCCTATGAGGATGTTCCATTTGTCTTATTTACACTTGACAGCAGATAAACAGATATATTTAGCTGAAATAACAGACTATTTTCAAAGACCCTCTGATAGAAGAAATACCCATTGCAATAATCTAATCCTGCAATTGCCAATGTAATGAAAATGTTGTTTTCAGTAGTAAGTGCAGCTAATGTATTGACCCAAGCCGGTAAATATTATCCTGGGCCGCCACTGTGACTTGGGCATTTAAGAAGAATGCTGGAACCTTCTCAAAACTGTATCTGATCACTCAGGGGATTATTAAGCAATAAAAATTCCTCAAACAGTAAATTATTTTTTAAATCTGTTTTGTTTATGATTAAATATAAACTCTCATGAGCACCTCATTTTATTTTTTATTTACTTGTATTCATGCCTTTATTAATTTTTTTTACAAGGAATTCAAGGGAAGCGAACATATCCAACACACCTTCCTCCTGCTATTATCCCCACAGCAACAACACTGTGATGTGAGTTGGGCTGAGAGAGACTGATTAGCCCAAGGTCACCCAACTGTCTTTCATGGCAAAGGCAGGATGAGAGCCCATGGTCTTCCACTGACTAGCCTGGTACCTTAACCACTAAACCAAACTGCTTATTCATAAGGTGTGGCACACTGATCATTTTTAAAGTACCATTGAGGAACTAAGTAATTTTGTAATATAAGGAGCACCAGTTTGGTCTAGTGATTAAGGTCTGGCCTAGAATTCATGAGATGGTGATTTCTAATCCTATCTTAGGCATGAAAGCTAGCTGGACTATCCAATTAGTCATAAGGTTGTTGTTGTGGAGAAAATAGAAGAAGGCAGGAGGATTAGGTATGTTCACCACCTTGAATTATTTATATAAAAAATAGGTAGGATTAAAAAATAATAATAAATAACTGCTATAACTTATCAAGAGTTACTGAATGATTTGAAATTATAAAAAAAGTCATTAATAATTGGTCCCTTCTTGAGTACAATTCAGTGTCATGCTGTTAATCCTTAAATCCCTACATGGTTTGATACCCAGATAGCTATAAGTTTTTCTTCTCCACCAGAAACCTTTTCCCCAGGATAATTTGCCTGGTACCAATATTACTATTATTTTGTCACTAAGAAAAATCTCATCTATTTACTAAGCTGTTGCATTTATGATTACATATATTGTTCTTTATTACATTTATTATAAACATATATTTTGTTTTTCAGGAAGATAAAACAGTTTTGAACGGCACACCAAACAATGAAGGAACTGACAATCCAGCCTTCAATCATATTGAAATGGCGACAGACAATAAAAATGGAAATGACACTTATTTGTGAAAATGTTGGATACTTCGCTAAAGTTGAAAGCTATTTCAAATGTATGAACATGGAATACAACTAAAAGTTTTGTTCATGAGAATACGTTAGAAATTTCATTCTAACGTGAACTTTTGCCCACTCATATTTTAACTTCATTCTATATTGGCTGGGACATTGCTAAAGATTACATTATGCAAAAAGTAACTGCAAAAATATGGGAACAATAACAAATCCAACATTCTGATTTCAGAAGATATGTGAAGCTCATTTTGGAAATTAATGCCTGTTACACCACTGTGTGCAAAATGAAAACTATGTTATGAATATTTTTTATTATTTCTTTGGTTGTTGGCTGTGTGTATTTGGGAGTAAGATCAAATAACTCAATGAAACTTTATTTCTGAGAAAAAAATACATACAATTGCACTGCTATGTTTTATTTTTCAAAAGCTTCATTTATTTGTTTTTAGCATCTCCCAGACTGTTACACATTTCTTCACGCCCTGATTTTTGCATGGTAACATGGATTATTGCCCATGTGTAGATCTCATGTGGAACTTTTTCTCCTGGATCCTTTATGGTCAGGGTACTAAAATTGCAGAAAGGTTAGGTATATTGATGGTTACATATACAATTCCCTATTTCAAATGTCTTCCTTATAACATCTTCACAGCGCAGTAAGAGAGCTTATGTTATCAGGTTAAAACTAAAAAAAAATAGCCCTACAATTTATTTCAATTGATTTTGCATCCTGATGTAAATTTGTGAGAGATGGTCCAATGTGAGTTATTCAACAGAGATCAGAATATAATCCTACGTTTATTCAGAAATAAGTCCTTTTATATTAAAAGAGAAATGTTTTATTGCAACCCCAAACATCTTGGTGCTTTTCAAGTTGGCTTTTTATTTAAAATCTTTAAAACTTTTAAAACTTTTTTTAAAAATGGAAAGCAGTAAAGCTACCATTCTTCTTCTCTTTGCCAAAGAACAGATCTTCGTACGCCATGGACTCAGAACACTGAAGAAAAAAAAAAGTGGTACAAATCAAAGATTGGAGCTTTGGGGCTAAAATTGGGAAAGGGAGTTTAGGTGGATGGCTGAAATTGCCAATAAGAGTTTGGGACTAGATAGCATTTGTGTGATGGAATAATGAGATACATGGCTGTAAGTCAGGGATGGGATTCTACCGGTTCACTCTGAAGATCAAGGTATTTCCTTTTTTTCCCCCCCCCCCCCAAAAAAGATCAGCTGTGCCATGCGATTTACATTAGCTAGAAAACAGGAAATAGCTGGATTTCTTGCTTTCTAGCTAATCTAAATCACTCGGCACAGCTGATTTTCCCTCCCCTTACTGTTGTACTGCTTTGCCCAGGAGACTTCCCTGAGGCCCATTAGGCATTTTTTTTTTTGCCTACTGGGCCTCAGGGAAGCCTCCTGGCAGCAAAATTGGGGCGCTGGGGGGGCTGCGCAGCCCCCCTGCCCTGATTTTGCTCCCATGAGGCTTCCCTGAGGCCCAGGAGGCAAAGAAAGCTTCATGCCCACCCAGTCCCATGACCACATGGCCACACCCACCTAGCTACGTCCACATAACCGGTAGTTTAAAAATTTGCATCCCACCCCTGCTGAATCTCTGGAAGACTGATTATCTGTGTAGGTAATAAAGACTAAAGATTTGTGAGCTAACCAGAAGAATAAGAATATGTTTAAGGAATGATGAAGAGAGACAGAGAGAGACAGAGGAGAGAGGGAGAGGGAGAGAGAAATTTTATCTCTCAACACCATGTTTGTATATTTGGGAGAAAAAATATTTGGATATGACCTGTCTATGAAAAATCAATTAATTAATTTCAGAACAATGTATTTAAAATTATTTTGGGAGCAGGATATCCCTTCTATGAAATAAATCTTTTCTTAGAAAATAAAACAAAGTTGGAAAAAAGAACTGTTCTTGACTATTAATCTCAACAGTATGGCTTTTTATTTTTGAGCAAGCAGTTTATAATGGTTCCTCCAAAACTTCCCAAGAAATATCCAGATACAGCCAAGTGTCTTAATATATATATTGAATACCCCAATTTAATTTATTGAAGGGGATTTATAATCTACTACCCTGAATTTTAGAATATAAAGTTTAAAAATCCCTTTCAGATTTTCATGATTTATGTTTCTGAATCTGAACACTTCAGCTTCAAGAAACCTGGCTAAATAATACTTTTTTAAAATACACTTTTTTATAAGTAGCTATAGGTATTTGCTATGATGCTGATATGATGCTTGATATGATGCTGGAAGATAAGCCCCTCAGGTCGGAAGGTGTCCAATATGCCACTGGGGAAGAGCAGAGGGCTAGTACTAGTAGCACCAGAAAGAATGAAGCAACTGGACTAAAGCCAAAAGGATGCTCAGCTGTTGATACATCTGGTTGTGAAAGGAAAGTTCGATGCTGCAAAGATCTATTCTCCATAGGAATCTGGAATGAGATATCCATGAATCAAGGCAAGCTGGACATGGTCAAACAAGAGATGACAAGACTGAACATCAACATCTTTGGAATCAATGAACTAAAATGGACAATTGGTCAATAAATGAGTAGGAAAAGCAATACTGGGATACAATCCTCAAAGTGACAGAATGATCTCAGTTCATATCCAAGGAAAACCATTCAATATGACAGTAGTCCAAGTCTATGCCCCAACCACTGGTGCTGAAGAGGATGAAATTGACCAGTTCTATGAAGCCCTGCAGCACCTTATAGAATTAACACTAAAAAATGATGTACTTATCATCATGGGGAATTGGAATGCTAAAGTAGGAAGCCAAAAGAGAACCGGAATAACAGGCAAGTTTGGACGGAGTACAAAATGAAGCAGGGCACAGGCTGATAGAAGTTTGTCAAGAGAATATGATGGTCATAGCAAACGCTCTTTTCCAACAACCCAAGAGAGCTCTACACATGGACATCACCAGATGATCAACACAGAAATCAGATTGACTATGTGCTCTGTAGCCAAAGATAGAGAAGCTCTGGTCTATACAGTCAGTAAAAACAAGACCAGGAGCTGGCTGTGGCTCAGATCAGGAGCTTCTCATTGCAAAATTTAGGCTTAAATTGAAGAAAGCAGGGAAAAGCACTAGGCACTCAGGTATGAACTAAATCATATCCCTGATGAATATATAGTAGAGGTAACAAATAGATTTAAGGAATTAGATCTGATAGACAGAGTGCCTGAAGAACTATGGATGGAAGTTTGCAACATTGTACATGAGGTAGCAACTAAAACCATCCCAAATAAAAAGAAACACAAGAAAGCAAAATGGCTGTCTGAGGAAGCTTTGCAAATAGCTGAAGAAAGAAGGGAAGTGAAAGGCAAGGGAGAAAGATAAACCCAATTGAATGCAGAATTCCAGAGAATAGCTAGAAGAGATAAGAATGCCTTCTTAAATGAACAGTGCAAAGAAATAAAAGAAAACAATAGAATAGGGAGGACCAGAGATCTCTTCAAGAAAATTGGAGATATGAAGGGAATGTTTCATGCAAAGATGAGCATGATAAAGGAAAAAAATGGCAGGGACCTAACAGAGACAGAAGAGATTAAGAAGAGGTGGCAAAATTACACAGAAGAATTATACAAGAACGAGCTTAGCATCCCTGATAACCACGATGGGATGATCACTGACCTTGAGACAGACATCCTAGAATGCGAAGTGAAATAGGCCTTTGGAAATCTGAGCAACAACAAAGCTAATGGAGGTGACAATATTCCAGCTGAGCTATTCAAAATCTTAAAATATGATGCAGTTAAAGTGCTACACTCAATTTTCCAGCAAATTTGGAAAACTCAACAGTGGCCACAGGATTGGAAAAGGTCAGTTTACATTCCAATTCCAAAGAAAGGCAATGCTAAAGAATGTTCAAACTATTGCACCATTGCACTCATTTCACATGCTAGTAAAGTTATACTTAAAATCCTACAAGCTAGGCTACAGCATTATGTGGATAGAGAACTACCAGAAGTACAGGCAGGATTTCGAAGAGGCAGAGGAACTAGAGATCAAATTGCCAACAAACACTGCATCATGGAGAAAGCTAGGGATTCCAGAAAAACATCTATTTCTGCTTCATTGACTATTCTAAAGCCTTTGATTGTGTGGATCACAACGAATTGTGGCAAGTTCTTAAAGAGATGGGAGTACCAGACTATATTATTTGTCTCTTGCGGATCAAGAAGCAACAGTGAAAACTGGACTCGGAACCACTGCTTGGTTCAAAATTGGGAAAGGAGTCCCGCAAGGCTATATAATGTTGCCCTGCCTATTTAACTTTTATGCAGAGCACATCATTAGAAAGGCAGGGCTAGATTAATCAAAAGTTTGAATTAAGATTGCCAGGAGAAATATCAACAATCTCAGATATGCAGATGATACCACTTTAATGGCAGAAAGTGAAGAGAAACTAAAGAGCTTCGTGATGCAAAAGTTTGCTTAAAACTGAACATTAAGAAAACTAAAACCATGGCATCCGGTCCTCTCAATTTCTGGCAAATAGATAGGGAAGAAATGGAGGTAGTGACAGTTTTTATTTTCCTGGGCTCCAAGATCACCGCAGATGGGGACTGCAGCCAAGAAATTAAAAGATGCTCCTGGGGAGGAAAGCTATGGCAAATCTAGACAGCACACTAAAAAGCAGAGACATCACCCTGCCAACAAAAGTGTGCATAGTCAAGGCTATGGTTTTCCCAGTTACTATGTATGGCTGTGAAAGTTGGACCATAAGAAAGGCTGAGCACCAAAGAATTGAGGCCTTTGAGCTACGATCCTGGAGAAGACACCTGTGAGTCCCTTGGACTGCAAGGCGATCAATCTGGTCAGTCCCAGAGGAGATCAACCCTGACTGCTCTTTAGAGGGTCAGATTCTGAAGATGAAACTCAAATACTTTGGCCACCTAATGAGAAAGAAGGACTCATTGGAGAAGAGCCTAATGCTGGGAAAGATTGAGGGCAATAGAAAAATGGGATGACAGAGAATGAGGTGGCTGGATGGAGTCACTGAAGCAGTCAACCTGAGTTTAAATGGACTCTGGAGGATGGTAGAGGACAGGAAGGCCTGGAGGAACGTTGTCCATGGGGTCGTGATGGGTCAGACACGACTTCACAACTAACAACAACATAGGTTTTTGCAGAAATTCCTGGAACAGGATGAGATAGATTATGTGGTAGCTTAATGTCAGGCACAAGAATGACTCCATGAGCAGGTCAAAGTAGTTTTATGTTGTTCTCCTAATTACAAGAATCTTGCTAGAGTAGACTAATTGCATTTTCTTGAGAACAAGCAGATAAAGGTTTCAGGAGTCTGGCCTTTTCCTCCCATGAAGTGACTCTAAACTAGCCAGCCTCTTTACTCTCCCCTCTAATGTATCTAGGGATTCCACCACACCTAAGCATACAGATTTTAACTGACCTATGTTCCAGTATTATAGTTAGACCCAGTGGGGCGCTATACAACAAATCTGTGCAGCTAACATTTAGTAATAATCTATTGCTAATGATCTATGTCTACCTTCTCACAGCAGGTTCCAATTTAACAGCTA